AGAACTCTGTTTGTGCTTGCTGTCGAGCATCCAGATGTCAGACTGATGACTAGATTTCACTGCAGCACAAATTGTGATATATTAGATACGTCAAGATGGTTAACTCATTTGGGAAGAAAATTTGATGGGTTGAGTTTTATGCTTGTTTAGACTGCAGCAAGACAACTGACCTACTTCATCAACCTAGAAACCAAATTATCTCATTTCTAATCTGCATCATGGTGACTGAAAAATCATCATTAATAATTTCTATCTTTCATCTCCAGCGTAGCGCTTTAGATTGTGTACATATTTGAAGGAGCATGCAAGTACATGTGCGATGAACGTAGCTATAAAGTGGCATGACTGAAGATCATAGTTTAGTAGCTTTTAAGTGAGACATCAAGACAGATGTTAGCACACCAGGCATTTCATAATGCATTTTGTAACTGTTTAAAACTGTAAAAAAAATAATATCAAGAAACAATTCATGCAGTTTTACGTGACTACTTATGGATTTTATGCATAAATAAATGCATATTGTGAGAGTATGTAGAAACTTTATGCCTAAAATCTACATAACATTTATGGATAAAATTTATGCATTTTACGCTAGAGCAAATTTAAGCATAAAATTTATGCATACACTCAGACAGCACACTTCCCGACTGCCCACATAAAAACTGGAAAGTACTTTCTCGATTTGGCAAACTCAGATTTGACTGGCTGACTTCACGCAACACAAGGTTTTTATCAGTCCTCCTGGAAACAAAATTGTGTTCACAAGGTTTAATCAGAGGTCTGGCTATGAAGGACAACATTTACATGGAAATTCATTTGTTAGTAAGACTTACTCCCAGATTGTCTAGAGTGACTTCATTCACCACAAATATCAGTGTTCCCAGGTATATAGATGGTGACGTCGTACCATAATACACCTTCCTTCCTTGTACTGTAATATACCAAGAAAACCTTGCACTGTTTGGTTTTGTATTTTAGCAATTAAAGGGGTCATATGATGCGATTTCAATTTTTCCTTTCTCTTTGGAGTGTTACAAGCTCTTGGTGCATAAAGAAGATCTGTAAAGTTGCAAAGACTAAAGTCTCAAATCCAAAGAGATATTCTTTATAAAAGTTAAGAGTCAACCACGCCTACCTAAAACGGCTCGTTCTAACACACCCCCACATACCTACGTCACGATCTCGGAAGATTTGCATAACGCCGCCCAAACGTTCACGCAAAGAAATGTTTCGTTGTGAAAGCGAACTACTTTGTTTGGTCTTCCAAAAGAGGACGATATCTGCTTCGTCATGTCTGGAGCTGATCCGTGCTGGTCGCTGAGGAAATACATCAACTTCGCGCTGTGGATCGTGGATCGGCTTTCACCGTGGACGAAGTGGAGTCCAGCCCGGGGTCGTCACATATGGTTGCCGCAAGCCCGCCAGCCGCGCCATTCTCAAGCCCGCCAGCCTCCGCTCACTCAAGCCCGCCGTGTGTTTTGTTGTGAAAGCGAAACTACTTTGTTTGGCCTTCCAAAAGAGGACACGACTAGAAATCAGTGGTTAAGTTGTATTTACAACACTGTTCCAGAACAGTTCAACCCAAATATTCAGATGTGTGCAGCGCATTTTATGGAGGACTGTTTCCTGATCCTGGAAGAGTAGACTACAATGCCGGCTGTTCTGACTCACAGACTAGGAGTATGTTTTCATATTTAAAGGATTTGCCACTGATGATGCAAACGCGAGTTTTGAGCAGTGTAGAGTAGCGCTTGTTGTTTGTCATTTCTCCGGTCACAAATGCAGACATGGTTTTATGTTTACGCGGCGCAACGCAACTCGTAAAATGACAGTATAAGTCATTATAATCCGTAATTATGTCCCCACTGGATGCAACAAATGCCTCGTTTATAATGGGTTTGAATGTTTTTGTCTCGTCGCTCCGGCCGGGACATGGCATCACAATATGGTAAGGGGCGTAACATTTCCGACACACGCTTAAGGTATTCGGCCAATCACAACGCACTGGATAGCTGGCCAATCAGAGCACACCTCGCTTTTCAGACCGATGAGCTTTGTAAAAATCTAAGCGTTTCAGAAAGGCGGGGCATAGAGGAGAAACAATAATGTACAGTATGTGGAAAATAATGTGTTTTTTGAACCTCAAACCGCATAAACACATTTCATTACACCAAATACACAAAATAATGTTCTTTTTAGCAACATCATATGACCCCTTTAACATCTACCTAATTTCCCTTAAAATCCAAAATTACATAACTATGATGCACTAATTCTAATTTCGCATAACACTGACTTGGGACAGAAAGTATGCAAAACAGGACATTGCTAGTGTGTGTGATCGTGCTGCTGGGAGGAGAATTTTGTTTTGTACACAATTAAAGATGTTCGTCTTCATACACATTGAAAAAGAATGTGGCACTTCTCATTTGTAGAAAACGCACAAATACAGAAGTGTACAAGGGCATTCATTTACACTGGTCTTGTTTATATGATGTTAGGAGAAGAGGGAACATTTTTCCTAACAATTATTATATCAATAAACATGTCAGGTTTTGGCTTGTGTAAGTCAGCGCTTAGTTTTATTAACATTTTTAAGAGCTGTAGGATGCATGCCCAGTTCAGCCAATTAAAATATATGGCTAGCCACGCACAGTATCTAGCCCGATAGACGTGCAAGATACTCAGGGTAATTCTGTAATGAGGGAGGGGTGCTTCAAGCTGTGAGTGCGGGTGAGCGCTATCACGGTGGCCATGCATCCTTTAAAATCACTAAATGCTAAGAGTCACAAACAGAAAATGAGCTATCACTAAGAGATTTGAGCTTGACCAAGCACAGATTGTCATTTCTTGATGGTTTAACTAAAAAGATTCATCAAGGATTGTTGTTCCTGCACTAGGGGTATGCCGGTATCAAATTTTCATGTTGCGATTAATTGCTAATGCTTTTATCACGGTACGCGGTATTATCACGATATTGAAATTTAGTTTTAAAAAATGCTATATATAATTATTCACGGTATTTAGAAGTGCCCACGATAACAATATCGTGCATATTCATTACCGTGATGTATCGCATTACCGAATACCGGCACAAGTCTATCCTGCACGATACGGTCACACCTGTTGAGACAAATGTAGAATCACTTTATGATCAGACTGTGGAAGATATCTTAGTATTTCTAGTTAGGAAAACACAAGACCACCCAGCATGAGCTCCAGATGGCATTCTGAAGCCTCCGTGACAAGTTTGATGGCAAAACGTGTGGTGTCCTAAATGACACCAGAAATTGTTCTAGATTTAGAGCTCAGCTGCTCCAATCCCCAATGCCAAAAAACTTTGTCAACTCTTTGCTGAAAACCACTTAAAAGACTATTCCAGGTTCAACTGAGCATTTGTGCACAGCATTTGTGGCATGTTATCACAAGAATTAATTTCCAGTTGTCCCGTTTCCTTTAAAAAAAAACAATAAGCATGTTAACATGACTTTAGTGTGAAAATAATCACTATCTTATGTGTAGCTAATAATTTACCTAGAATAGTTTACCTTGAACGTGTCAGTCAAAAGTGAAAACTAGTAGTAGTAGTAGTTTTTCTTATAATGTTGCTTTTAGCAAGAACTCAAGTTCAATGACTATCGGATATGGCATAGTTAGTTGAGGATGCAACACCTAAAACAAACGGGCAAACAAATTCATTCGCACTTTACACCCGGCCACTCGCTTCCTGCATTCAACGTCTCTAGACATAACTCTTTACAAAGGAGTGTGGTGATGTACAGCAAAGACAAAGGTCTTGACTTTTCGAGGGTGATGTTTGTTTGCTCAGTCGGTGTCAGGAGCATTACCCTCCTGCTCAAGTTATTAATAATGCAGAGTGGCTGTGCAAACAAGGCACATTTTTGGAGAGGGTGGAGACAGAAGGGCATTAAATAACGGTCAGAAAGGGCCAGGCTTTTTTAACCTCTTCTCAACCTCAGGGTGCACCTACCACCCACATGCTAGCAAACACTGAGCGGCAGGCTCTGGATAAGGAGAATATGACAGCCTGGTCAAACACTGCAAACACTTATTGACTGCATGATATACAAAGTGAACAGGTGGCATGGAAATATTTGCTAAAATCCATACTGTACCGTTTTGCAAAACTTTTTAAATTCATATATTTTTTAATTTATAAAAAAAAAAGAAAAGCAAACATACAGAAAAACAAACATACAATGCAACCAGTGCAATCCCAGTCACAAACAAATTGCTTTTATGAATAAATTCTCTTTAAATAAAAAAAACACTGGGAAACTTGTGTAGTCTGATTCACATACAAACGTCTCTAATGAACAAATTATTTTTAGTGAATGAAAAACATACAGCACAATCAGTACAGTCCCATTATTAAGAAAATGACTCCTATGAGCCGATTCTTTTTAGTCAATCAGAAACTTGACACAACTAGTGTAGCCTGATTCCTGAAACAAATAGTCTTATGAGTCAGTTCTTTTAATGAATGGTTCAAAAAGACAAGTTACCAGTTTGAATCAGAATGAGAATTTCATATGTCAGCAAAATGGACATAACCTAAATGAGCACTGGAACTGAATCAGAATCTATTTAAAACTAAACAAAGAGCTTGTAAGTAAGAATTAAATATACAGTTGTTGCTCTCTAAAACCAGCAATTGGGCCTTTGATATGTCCCGCCCCAACTTCCTGTTTCAATAGGAAATACAACAAAAATTGACTAGTTTGCAAATAGATGAATGTTCTGTGTCTGGAAGTGATCTACCAAACAATTAGCTGTTTTTAAGCAAAATCAATGAGATCAAAATGTAATTGCTGTTATGGACGGCACATTAATTGCAATTTTGTGCAGATTTTATCATGTCCTTCATTATTTATGTAACATGACGCTACATAATTCACCAAGGTGAGGTGGAAGTGCAACCTAAAGCTTGTCATCTTACAGTATTTGACATCTTTAACATTTTCCGTGTTACCATGCAGGTTGTCGGGGACAGGACCCAGCAGATCCATTAGCAACCCCGACAGCAGGCCCGACAACAAACTCGACAGCAAACGCGACAACAAACTCGACAGCAAACGCGACAGCAAACGCAACAGCAAACGCGACAACAGGCCCGACAGCAGGCCCAGCAGCTGCAAACCCAACTTCTGGGCCTGCTGTTCAAGAAACACCTGACCCAAGCCAACCAGGTTCTGTTGACACTACTGACATGGGTATGAGGCCTCAAGACTGTCCCTAAATTAATTTCTTAAGTGTTTTTAGTTGGTGATGCTACTAATTCTTGATTCTTTGGTTTTAGCACCTCGATTAGCTGCCAACGCTGCTGATGCCAGCCTGCCTACATCTGTACCAGGACAATCAGAATCCACAGACCCAATGAACTCTGATGTAAAGGTGAAAGAAAAAATAATGATGGCGAACAATCCAGTCTCAAATCAAGGTTCCATAATTACAAATGTAAGTAATTTTGGGTCACTAATATCATGGATAAGAATTCTGGGTGGAAAAAAAACAATGGTCCAAAATCAATGTACATTTGACAGTTCAGTTAAGAACTATCAGAGTTGTCTTTTAGTTTATTATTAATCATTGGTTTTTATTGGTCAACAGCTCTAAGCACATGCAGAAGAAATGTGATTTTTTTATTTCATTTTAGTTAATTTGACCAATTTAGCTGACATTTTTCTAAACCCAATATTTAGGATTCACATTCACAAGTTTCATCAGGTGGTACAGATGGTAATACCATGGCACTATCTACTTCCAAAAATATTATGACACTACCACTGCACTTCTCCAGAACAGATGGTTTAGTAGTACCATGGTCTTTTTGGTACTTTACTTTTTTTTTTTAAATACCATGGTACTTTATTTGTGAATGGCCAAGCAAAGCGCACGACACTGACAAGGTACGCGATACAGTAAGTTACCAGACCAAACGCGATTACCATACACCATATGGTAATTTCATTTACCATACACTCTAAAAAAAAAAGGTGCTAGATAGCACTAAAAGTGGTTCTTTGGCTCGTAATCATAGGGGAATAACTTTAAGTGCTACATAGTACCTATATCTTTAAAGATGGTGCTATAGCACCTTAACCACCCCAAAGAACTGCTGAAGAACCATTACAGGTTCTTTATAGGTGCTATATGAATTTAACGGTAAAAGACTGTAAAAATGCTACATTAAAAACCTGTTAAATGGTTAACGGTAAGTTCCCCTATTATATACGGTGAAAAACTGTATTGGACATTACATGTAATATTACGGTAGTATACCGTCTTTGGAAGTGGGAAAAAGTTAGTATAATTTACAGTGAATAACTGTAAATTGACATTCCCAGAATTCCCTGCATTACATTTCAAATTTCATGTTGTTTTTTTTAAATAACTATGTTTCTTCTTAGTTTTTTTCTAAGCAGTTGTGTACATTAGGGTTGTATGTTACATCTAATGTTGTTCAATTAATGTTTATTGCATTATTTCAGTTTCATGTGTGTTACCATGATGGTGTTTAGTGTTTGTGTGAATGACACTGTGCACCTTCTATATATTTTAATATTTAAAAGCTGCTTGTGATAGGCTTTGGTTCATCGTGTGATTTTCTCATCACTACCTGTATTTGGTGCAGTCAGTGTTCACAAAGGTACAAAACAGATTTCAGTACTTCAGTGGGTTGGTATATTAACGTTATATCCGTTAATGAAATTATGGTATTTAACTGTAAATTTAAGTAAAACCGTAAAACGCTGCTACCTTATTTTTTTTACGGTAAAATTCTGGCAACCACAGCTGCCGTTTTTTTACTGTAAATTTTACGAATTTTTTTTTACAGTGAGCACTTCAATTGGTTCCCCTATGATTACGAGCCAAAGAACCACTTAGCGGTGCTATATAGCACCCCGTTATTGAAAAAATTTATATCGCGATACATATTGATATTGAATTATTGTCCAGCCCTACCTGAACTACCACAAAGAACCGCTGAAGAACCAGTAGCAGTACGATGATATTTTTGAAAGAAACGTACATGAAATTTACTACCATGGTATATTTCAAAGTACCATAATAATACTATTATACTAACATCATTGTACCATGGTACTGCCATAGTACTTTTTTTGTAAGGAAAGTACTATAAATACAATAGTATATGCCAATCATTTAGTAGATTTGTATAAATCAAAGTACCACAACATTACCATTTGATACTATCAATGTACCACTGTACCTACAAAATAAATTTTTGGCAAAGGAACTTTGTGTAACTGCATTTATACTTTCGTTTACATGTTCATACGTTACAGTGAGGCCATATCAGCATCATACCAATGCACACATCCCATATTTACCCCAAAAGGTCATCAGAAGAGCTTAAAACAATCTAAACTCCACTATAAAGTACCTCTACAAGACTTTTCAAGTATCTCTACTTTGCCAACCCAAACCAATGGACAGAGTGACTTTAGATGTTTTCAGTTGCTGTCATCTGCGTCCGTGTACATTAGAAAGGAAGGAAGCTTTGTGTCTGAGAGGATAAAGTTTAGCAGGGCAGTTTGAGCTGTTGATGCCTGTGAGCTCAGATTAGGGAGATCCTGTTTTGTCATTCGCTATAAATAATCCCTCCACACAAAAGATGAATGAGTGGGAGAGAAGAGGGGCTTCCTCTCACTGCTGCCATGCGGTTATGAACCCAGGAAAGAGGTTAGACGAGACTTGGGGGGTAGATGATGAGCGTCCATTGTTGGCAAGAACAGATCTGAGACCGGTGAAACCGTAATTTTACGAAGCTACGAGAATACTTTTTGTGCGCAAATAAAACCAAAATAACGAATTTATTCAACAATTCATCTCCTCCGCGTCACCCTGGCGCCATTTTGGAGAGTATCACATACGTAAACAACGTATACTGTTCTGTGTCAGCAGCACTGTACGTGGATGCACTGTTTACGTTGTTTACACTTTGATCTGAACGTAAACAACGTATCCACGTACATACGTTGCATACGTTGTTTACGTATGTGATACTCTCCAAAATGGCGCTATATGATGACACGAAGGAGACGAATTGTTCAATAAAGTCATTATTTTTGTTTTCTTTGCATACAAAAAGTATTCTCGTAGCTTCGTAAAATTACAGTTGAACCACTGATGTCACATGGACTTTTTTAATGATCTCCTTGCTATGTTTCTGAGCCTTGATCGTGTAAGGACCCTTGCTGTCTATGGGAGGGTCAGAGAGCTCTCGGAATGCATCAAAAATATCTAATTTGTGTTTCGAAGATGAACGATGGTCTTACGGGTTTGGAACGACATGAGTGATTAATGACAGAATTTTCTTTTTTGGGTGAACTATCCCTTTAAATATACAATATCTACCAATATTGGTGAATTAATCCGTCACTTTGATTTTTATCAAAACAGACCTATGACAAAACATTCCTGCATGTTGTTAAGGGACACCCAAACTAAATCAACATCACTTGATTAGATACCTATAAAATGACTCAAATTGCTGTTGAAGCTCTCCAATATTTAATCCCAGTTTTTGTTAAACTTGTTGTTTTTTGTGTTTCTCTAGCCGAATGAAGAGAAAGAAAAGAATGTTGCCTCTGGATCTTCTCCTGCTGTTTTCGTGTCTGTGCTGGTGACCGGCTTACTGCTTGCTGCTATAATAGTCGGCATATACTACTTTAAGTGCCATCGCCGAACCAACGGCAAAGGCATGAAACTGGTGAGTGTCAGACTTACTGAACGCCAGAAAAACATCCCATTAATTGTAATATCCTTTCTTGAGGATGCTCTAACTCAACACTAAACAAATCTTTGAAGCAAATTTACACATTCATTCACTTCCTGCTGTCTAAACCCTCAAATTGATGACTTCACCAACAGTATCTCCACCACCAAGTGTTCCCAATCAAATTCCCATTTTGAATGTGTTATGCATGTATTTTAATTGCAAAGTTCAGTGTATTTGGTAGGGAAATGTTGCCAAGCTCATAATTAGGAGGGAAACAATTGGCAGCATATCAGTGCAGCGCAGTTCCTCCAGCACACGCCCCATCGAATGTTCAGAACCACAACACATGCTAGTGAAACACTAACTGTTTCATCTCCTTGCCAATAGTTCTAAGCTGTTTTCCTTCTCTGTTAAATGATGAGAAATGATGAAAGTGAAACAAAGTGCACTCTCGGCAGACCTCAGAAAGAGTCTTACAATGAAAAAATACTTACATTCATAGGGCAGCATTTCATAAGCCATATGCTGCACAATAAATGCTTTAGCTTTGAAGGAAAAATCTTCCATCAAACAAAAATGATTTTATGGAAGTTTACATGTTCTGCTCAAAGAACACCCTCCCCTTAATTCAAGGGTCTTGCTCATCAGTGCTGATTTACAAAAATACTGACTAAAAAATGAAACATTTTAATTTTAATAGTTTAATGCAGTCAATGCATCAAATTTGATAAAAGTCTAACATAGAATCTTGATATGAACTCCATAATTTCTCATCAAATTCTTCCAAGACCTCATGATCTACATGATTAATCGTTGTCTCATTTGTGTCTACTGTCATTCATCCCAAGAAATTCTAGAAGAAACATCTCATTCTCCTAGGAAACACCAAGTCTCCTGAGTTATAAATCTTATGCTCAATTTGAATTTATAAATTTGAGCAATACAATTTGTTCTCTGGGAATAGGCTATTCCTGGGGTTAATTGTCTTGCAAAATAAATAATAATAATAATAATTAATAATTATAAGTAGTAAAAATATAATAATAATATATAATAATAAAAAAGAATATACAAATTTAATAATAATCATCATCATCATAATAATAATAATAAAAATAAAATCTTTGTTTGTATTTTGTTTTCCTCAGGCTGAGGAGTCTTACATGGCTGACGAGGAGAACCAAGGCAACACTCTGGTGTCTGTGGCCCCTCTAAACCAACCCGAGCCCCAGGAGAAGCCCAGTCTTAACGGAGAGTCACAAGAGGCAGTTAAGGCCCAAACTCCTCCTGCTGCCACCAACGGCCACTCTACCACCAAAACAGCAGACACTGAGCTGTGAACAAGCCAACCTGCCACCAAGGGTCTGGGCGGAACGCTTAGTCCCTGCTTCTTAAACCCAGCTCAATCTACTGCATTGACCTTGGCCATAAGGCACAAGGGAGACAAAGACTCAAATTCCCACTGCAAAATATTCAATTTAAGTTCATACAGAACAACTTCTGAGGCAAACTGGTCAAGTAATCCTCCTCCCGATCTATCAAAATAAATGTACACGTTTCAATACTATATGAAAATTTGTTGTACGTTAAGAAAGCAGTTGTAAGTGCCAGTTATGGCAGTGATGATTTACACAAAGAACATTATATAAATTCAATCAAAAAAAAAAAAAAACATTTTAGTCCAAGAGGTTCACCCTTTCAGTATAATACAGTACTGCTGTGGGGTGGGGGGACCTTTCCCATGAGTCATTGCTGGCTTCCATAAGAGCAGCCAGGGCTGGAACGGAACGTCGGGAGGATCCTTGCTCCTGTCCCAGCGCTCCACAGCTTCCAGCTGAGAGTAAATCACATGACACCATAAAGAAACATTCAGAATCCAATGGACGTGAGTTGTGTTTTTGTTTGCGACGGGTTGTTTGTGTGTTTCTAGATTGTATGAAATGTTCTATATGTTTGTCTTTGTGTACAGTATGATTTGACTAGTTAATAGTCTTGTATAATTTTGTTAATATCACTGCATGACAAAGTAATGATTCCTGGAGTTGCTGAGCCTGAGAAATCAGTTCAAGCGTCAATCCATCAACTTCATTTCATTGCTGCAAACAACCCTTAACGTACAGTAAAATCCAACCAATTAGATATGCTGCAAAGCCCGTTAGTGCTCAGGGTGACAGCTAATTGTTATCTGACATTTCTGGATTGTGTTACAGCTTTACCGTACTTTGTAAACCAGTATTATGCTCTTTTTGTAATATTTTTATTCTAGACATTTAGATGGATTGAATGACTGACTTAATCGTTTCAATGACCTGCCTTAATTACTAGAAGTTTCTTGGGTGGGTGCATTTTATTTTGTATCTGCATTTGCTACTACACTGTACAAAAGTCATTAGGCAAAAAAATGATGTAATTGGGTGCAGCCATGAAACCCTGGACCATCGTTTTTAGTTTTAGTCAATCCACTCCAATACAATGAAAAACAGTGCAGACAAAAAGAACATTTCTACAATACTTTTAAGCCCATATCTTTTTTAAATGTTTTACACTTCTTCACAAAATTTCTGACACAAGACTGACTAAACTTGGGGTCAAAATTTGGTGCTAGATTGACTGTATCTCTTAAAATAAACCAATAGAAAATTATGTTTTAAATGTACATACATATTGAATACCATGTCCTTTATTTCAACTATGACATTTTGTTTTAACATTCCGGTGTTCCGTCATATTTTGGATAGGTGTACTAGCATTGTGTTAAACTGATGTATGTTTGTGATAGGAATAAAGTTTTGAAAAATAAATTGATATGTGCTCACTATTCATTTCTACTTTACCCCAGTGAGACCTCGTCTTTGTGTGCCTTGGATCTATATGATCCAATTTTTCATTTATTTGGCTTCTAGGCTGTTTACTCAAGAATTTTTGTTTGATATGAAATGCACACATATGTTCTCTCTCCATCTCTCCCTCATTCCTCAACACACGTGCAAAAATTTGGCTGGCATCTAAAAGCCATTTAAGCAAACAGCTGGTTTGCATAAGAGAGGGCGATGACATCAGAGAGCAGGGATTCGGGTGGGGTTCAGTGGACCCTCATCACTTTAAGAGAAATCAAGTCAGCAAGACTGCTGTCTCACGCCCTCTGAGTTCTTCCACTAATCACCCTAAAACACAAAGCGGTAAATGGGATAATGATGATATTACAAATATAATCTCCTAGAAATATTATAATATAATATACTATATTATTATAGTATTATATACTATAGTATACTATACTATTATATTAAATTGTATTTTTATACATAGGCCTATATAAAAATATAATAGGCTGCTACTATTACTAATATTATTATTAATAATTATTATTATTATTATTTTACCTCTAATACAATATTTCTACAAAATAATATATCACATATAATATTTCTGTAAAAAAAAAAAAGTTTCCACAGCTATATAATTTATGTATCTATTTTTGTTAGATTTCTGCTTACCTACAGCAACAGAAAAACACAGTGGGTAAGAAAAATGCTTCAAGACATTAACTGAAAAAAAAAAGACTTGCTTAAAATACTAGAAATGCATTTTTAGAAAGAATATATTCTACATTACATTTTATGGCATGTATAAGTTTTTTTTCCATTCTGTCAATGTTTTCAATGTTCCTAAAAATAACAACTAATTTACTCTGCTGGACCTCAGACTGCGGTCTTGTCTGAAACCATAAACCAGGCCCAGATCCAGACCAAATCTGTCTTTATGCAGTCTTAAGAGGTCTCAAGACCAACACCACAACATATTCTTATCAATATTTAGCAAATATTGATAAAAACATCACTATGTCACCAACATGTAAGAAAACATGAAAAAGACCATTACTGACATTTTCCTGCCTGGAGCTAGTTCATATCATCTCACATATTTTGAATGGTGAACCTTATGATGTCACACTTAATCTTCTCAGGATGCTCTTGTTCTTCATAAACCATGATAAATATCTACAAATCAGGAATCACCCACTATAATCACCTCACAGTACAACCCAAAACATAAACAGAACAAGGACAAATGAGTCTGGCACAAACAAACAGCAGACAGAAGAACAGCCTTCCTTAAAGGCAAAAATAAATCCATATATATCATGGCTTATCTGACAAGAACGACTAGGACAGTTTCTTAAAATAACCCTTCATGTAACACCATTCCATTCCACTGCATTTACAGTTCCATAAAATAGACATGGTAGGCCTACTCCAAGTGTACACCATAATACATCTAAAAACCATGGTAATGCCATTGTACTTTTTTGTTATATGAGAGTTTTCATTACCGTAATTAAATGTTTTTACCTGCAATAGTTGTTCACAAGCTGCGCGTGCAGGTGTTGATCTTCACAAACAGTATCTTCATCTTTGGAGACTGGATGGATTTGTGGGTTTAGTCCAGTTTATTGTAAGTAAAGTATTTTCGTTCATAGTATTCTAAATTGTTTTGTTCTCCAGTTCCTGTTTTGCGTCAATAAGCGAGAAACCCGCTGAAAACTATTCAGCGTGCGAGTGAGCTGTTCGAATGATTCAAACTGAATCACGAATCGATTCAAGCGGTTTTGACCGATTCATTGCAAAGAACCGACTCAAATGAGTTATTCATTTGCGAATCGAGCATTCCAAACAGCATATAGGAAATACAAACATACGACTTGATTTATTTAAAAAATTGTCAAGAAGTAAAATGTTTTTCAAAAAGGTTTATGGTAATCTCGTCAGAGGATTTTTCAGAATCAGAAAGATTTTTCAAACAGTTTGTTCGACACATAAAAATGCAAGTACATTAACCATGGTTTTATTTTAGTAAAAGTGTTTTTGTTTTTTGGCGTATTGATCACCACATGTGATGCAAAAGTGTTTACAGACAGGAATAAAGTCTCTAACTGTCACTAGACTTCAATAAAGCAATGTTTATGTCAGTGACAGGGCTTCAAAAATATGACTCCTACTTTACAAAGAGCACCATTAAAGGGATAGTTAACCCAAAAATGAAAATTCTGTCATTAATTACTCACCCTCATGTCGTTTCAAAACCGTAAGACCCTTTTTCATCTTCGGAACACAAATTAAGATATTTTTGATGAAATCTGAGAGCTCTCTGATCCTGACAGCAAGGTAACTACCATATTTAGGCCTAGAAAGGTAGTAAGGACATTGTTAAAATAGTTCATGTGACATCAGTGGTTCAACCATAATGTTATGAATCTAAGCCAGCGTTCTGCAAGTAGAACCCGGACGATCTGTGCCTTGTTTTCAATCAGAGGAATGCACATGCATCCATCGTGGTATTCTTGTGAATGCGCACAAAAAGTATTCTCATAGCTTCATAATATTACGGTTGAACCACTGATGTCACAAAGTCCTTACTACCTTTTTGGGCCAAAGATGAATGAAGGTCTTACGGGTTTAGAACGACATGAGGGTAAGTAATTAATGACAGAATTTTCATTCTTGGGTGAACTATCCCTTTAACCATGGTGCAGTAATGATATCAGATGAAAATGCCATGGCTTGTTATACAATCACACTGAATATTCATACATCCATAGTCATATACGATGGCATTTCTTCCAATAATAACATAGTTAACCAAATGGTAATACAATGGGTTTTTTTTTTTACCAGACCTCTGTTCGCTGATAGTCAAAACATGTGTTTGGCCAAGAAGAGAAATCCTGGGCCTATCTGTTTTTCTAGTAGAAAATATTGTTTTTTTCTTTGTGTGAGAGTGTGTGACATGAAGAGTCAGAGATTAAACACACACACATATATCCACACTCCCACCCAAGGCAGCAGGGTGTTTTCTCTTGTCAGCCCTGTGAAGGCGTGTGTTGTCGCAGCTGTGAGGTTCGTCGAGTTTTCCCTCGCCTCACTCCTATGGTTAGATAGCCTTGCTGAGGGATAGAGTCAGAGAAGAACAAGTATGTTTTGTGTCAAGGTTCAGGCCACACCAGCCAAGGGAGGGGACGCTGGAGAATCCCAGGAGAGTCTGTTGTCATCACCGAGAGAGAATGGCAGATGAAGGGAGAGAAAGATAGAGGACGGATGAAGGATGCAAAGTGCACTTCTACCTCATATGTTTAGGCTAGAACACTTGAAATGAACATAAATATCACACAAGGGATCCCAGGTTCATGTTACTCTTATAACGTACAACTTCCTGTACTGATTGAAGACCACCTTGCATCTTTCACTGCACAGTGTTTTAATTTTAAGTCCTATTTTAATTATTTATATATTGAATAATTTTATTATTTTATTAAATCGTTTTGATTATAATATACACAAATGTTGCACTGCATGGTGATTTAATTGCATTAATTCTACTGCTATGCAAGATATTATATTTTGAGATGTTTGGTTCATAATACCATTCCATGGTTAATGATCCATTAATCTCAATCATCTAATAGAGGCGTTTGCAGATAAAGTAGAAGTTAATGCATTCTAATGAAAGTAAACATGGCTAAATGTCCTGCGCGATCACATGCTCTTATCTACAGAAAGCCATTTCATGTGACTATTATGTCCCCATTATTGAAGCTGAACCCTCAGGAGGTTTCTATTAGGAAGAAGTGAGCTTAAGAATGTTTACCAACTTCCTGCTTCTTGCGAGCATTTTGACTGCTGTATGGTGACATGGTCCTTATCTCTCAGGGTAGGAAAACATCTGGTCCCTAGATCTGGGCAGGAAGTGTATCGAATGGACAGCTTCCCCCTTTCTAAAGAGGACAAATCCTATAGCAGCGTCACAAAAAAATCACACACTTGTATGCACAAAATAAACAGTCAAAATTGATTTCAACATCACTTTTTCACATTAAATACAATAAAATATTATTGCAAACTGCTTTAATCTTATCTATCCGGTTGGTCAATGTGGTTTAGAAATTGTTCAGTGTGTGCCAGAGGAATTCAGACAATAAAGCCAAATACAATTCTAATCAGATTGGTCACTATATCAGCCAAAGAGTCATAAAACTCCCCTAAAAACACACATTTCACACTCTCTATGGTTTAATTTGTCAATTAACAATGTCCAACCGTGTATAAACATGCACCACAGGAGAATTCTGATATTTTTTGTCAGTTTTCTTAAAGTCATGGATATCTCCACCACAGTGCCATTAATAAATCTGGATATTTATTGTGTTTAATAGCATTCTGAAAACGCATATTAAACATTTTATTTCTTGTCCTATCCTACATACACACACTTAAATAATACACACACTTTTAATTTGACATCATTTGACAAAATTGCAGCGTGATTGAGCAGAAAATTGCAGAGTTTTCGCGATTTATCTTGATGTTTCTTCAGACATCACACGTCTCTTGTTTCAACTCTTTTTTTTTTTAAGCTCTTTGTTGACCGTGTTGTTTTCTTGGTAACAGTGTACACTAACTTCTGAGAAAAAAAAAAAGTTTTTAGTACCAATATTGTTGGTCATGATGGAAATTACACCACAAATGAGGCACAGTTGTAATTTGTGTACACATTTATATAAACACTTTTCACACAATAAACATTGCAATAATTATTTTATTCTTTGTTTAGATCATCATAGCTTTTAACATAATATTTTTTTTTTCATGGACTTTTAATAAGATTGTATGTCTGGGTTCACAGGGTGAAACAATAAAAGCCACTTGAAAAGCAGCAAAAGTAAATGATGAAGGCATGATAAAACACTTCCCTCTTTTCATGTGACTTAAAGATATAATGAAAAAAAGTTGATTATACATAAAATTCAATGAGACATAAATGTGTCCATATAAGAATTAACTATATGCTGGACATGGTCCATGCACATTTATCTAACTCTGAAACATCACAATGAGTGTTTTGCTTTCAAAACATATTAATATAAACTGTTTAACCACAACATTCACTCCTAAAAGATGGAAAGATGTCTGTTACAAGAAGAGCAACTGAATTTTTATCACTGACTGGCAAAGGAATGAACATCAGCATCATGTCATTCAAGGCTATGCAGTTAAGCAACAGAATAGAACGTTGTGCCTTTTATTAATGCAGGGCCCTCTAGGGGGCTTCATTTTGCTTGGAACTCCATGACTGTTTAGTCTTTCAGAGTAATCCACCTCTCCATCTCAAAGTCCTCGCCTCATTCCATTGTCCCTACACCTCCAGTCACAAACCAGACAGTTATTAATACACACAGACTGTCATCAATGTCCTATGGCAGTGAGAGGGTGCGCACAGATAGTATAGAAGACACATAATCCACGGCTATACGTGACAGACGGCAGTCAGAGAGTCTCCTTACAGGGAGGGTCACAGAAAGCTGCTGGACGTGCTCCAGATTTCACTGTAAAAAAAAAAAAATTTGAAGGAGAAGAAAAATACAAAACATTACAGCAGCAATCCAGGGATAAGATTTGCATAAATAAAAAAATTATAAGTAATAACTCTTTAGTATTAATTGTTTCTGAGAAAGATTAGATGGAGTGTCTACAGAAAAAAATTAAAAAATAAATATATATATATATATATATATATATTCATGAAAAACATTAACATATATACTTATACATTTATATGTACATTTAGAATATTACTTCAATATATAAAAATGGGGCCAATTTTTGGAGGATTTAAAAGCTGAAATGTGAAGATTACAATTTTATAAAAGCACTCACGTTAGTTCTTCTGCTAAAACATGAGCATTATTTGAGTTTTAGTAAACGTTTTACAGTCAGTTTAAGTGGTTATGCTGTGTTGACAGTAAAGATAGTAACCATTTTTTAAACTAAAACCATTTTAACATGCATAATATTTATAATGTGGCAAAAATATTGAAACAGTATTTTAGCATTTTTGTAGAGTATTACTAATTGTGTCTGAGAAAGATTATATGGAGTGTCTACAGAAAAAAATTAAAAAATAAATATATATATATATATATATATATATATATTCATGAAAAACATTAACATATATACTTATACATTTATATGTACATTTAGAATATTACTTCAATATATAAAAATGGGGCCAATTTTTGGAGGATTTAAAAGCTGAAATGTGAAGATTACAATTTTATAAAAGCACTCACGTTAGTTCTTCTGCTAAAACATGAGCATTATTTGAGTTTTAGTAAACGTTTTACAGTCAGTTTAAGTGGTTATGCTGTGTTGACAGTAAAGATAGTAACCATTTTTTAAACTAAAACCATTTTAACATGCATAATATTTATAATGTGGCAAAAATATTGAAACAGTATTTTAGCATTTTTGTAGAGTATTACATGTCTTAAATATATGCTAAATATATTATAATAAATGTTGTGAACTGTGAAGCTCAGTGAACTATATTTTTGAAGTTGAATATATATTTAGTTTTAACCTTCATATAACAAAATATATTTCAAAATGTACTATATTGTTTCAAGTGCTTTAAATAAACACATTTATATTTTACACAATATATTTTCAAAAATAAACAAAAATGGCCACAAATATGTTATTGAAAAATATGTTTAAATATGTGTTTGTCTGCAGCAAATATATTTGAGCAAATATACTTTTGGCCATTTACATTTGAAAATATGGAAGCTGTAACCCAGATTTTTGAAAACAAGTGGAAATTAATTGTTGCAGTAACATCGCAAATGCTGTCAATTAAGCTCACTTTGTACTGAACTCAGAATATTCCTTTAAACCATGAAAGAGCAACCTCTGAGCAGTAAAATGTTCCTTTATGTGAGAACATACTGTACATGACATAAACATGCGCACAGGATAACGCATGTAAGGCGTGTGCACATTTCCATCCATCTTTGCGTGAGAGTTTGACACAGCCATGTGCTGCTCCTAAGTCTGACCTAAAGGGAGTGTCCATAACGAATTTGAAACTACACACACAAGCACATACCAAGCCGTCCAAGCCAGCGTGATCTCTCAACAGACACACACTCTCTGACACCTGGTGGCCGCGCCTGGGGGGTTTTCATTTCATCATGTGTAAAATATGATCCTGCTAAGTTTTATTAGCGATGCTAGCACACATATACAAAACCAACACATACACACTGTGGACGGCCATAGTGTCAAGTTGCCAACGCTGGAAGCCACACTTTCACAAGTCAGAGTCATTCATTTCTAAGTCTACAATCAGCAGCTATATGTGCCTGGTGAAGTTCCTCCCAACCAAGCCTGATTGAGGTCAATTCAAGGAGCCTGTGACGAGGGGTTTTGTGAGCCTGGGTGTGAACAGGCCTGTATAAACCAGCCATATGACAGTGTGATAGTCCTCTGGTTTAAGAATATTACTGGATCATAACATTTTACTGCAGCTCTGAGGGTCAAGCATGCTATCACATTTTCCCACATGTGCAAAGTGTGCACCTGTTGTTTGGAACATGCATGACAGATCAACACAACATAATTACATAAGCATATCTATCAGAAAAACTAAATGAGAATGCTTCTGTATTTATAGAACAGCGGATTAATGTACTTATTAAAGTTGATGTTTGTCATTTAATAAAAAGAGTTTTCAAACAGAGATTTCAAATTATATTATATTATATATTA